TTTTTAAAAAGGAATAAATAGAACAAGTCTTGGCAAACTTTTTCTGAAGGGGCTAGACAGTAAATATTTCAGCTTTACAGGCCACATATGGTCTCTGTCACATATTTCTCTCTGGTTTATTTTTATTTTTATTTTTATTTTTTTTATAATAATCTTTAAAAAATGTAAAAGGTTAGGGGTTGCATTTTTCTTTCCTGGGCCATAACAAAACAGGCTGTGGGTCATACTTGTCCTGTGAGCCGTAGTTTGTGGACTGTGGCTTTAGAACCATGGTTAGTCTCCCATGCCTTCTCAGCAATCTTTCATCCATATGTCCTTTTACTCTAGGATGCCGTGAAAGCATGATTCTTTCATCATATTGAAAACCCCAACACTGAACTATTGTAAGGGGATATTATTAAAGCTTTTAGTATTAGAATTCTACTTTTGTCCCGAGTTATAAAAGAATAGCAAATTTTTACATGAATATTTTACATGAATGGCATATTTTATATGAACGGCATATTTTACATGAATGGCTTGAAAACTCACAGTACTGGCACCATTTTATTTTTTATTTTGAAAATTATTGATTCAAAGGAAGTTGTAAAAAGAAAAAGCATACGGAAGTCCTGTGTACTTTTCACCCAGTTTTCCAAATGGTTCGTCTTGCATGACTGTAGTTCATGCTAGAAATATGACATTTGTACAACATCCAGAGTTTATTCTTATTTCACCAGTTTTATAAGTACTCATTTGTATGTGTTTGTAATGTTCTGTACAATTTTATATCATATGTAGATCTGTATAACTACCACTGTAATTGAGATACAGAACTGTTCCATTACCATAAGGCTTCCTGAGGTTATCCTTTTATAGTCATACCCACTATCCTTCCACCCTCAACTCTAGCACCTGGCAACCACCAATCTGGTCTCTATAATTTTGTTATTTCAAGAATGTTTTATAAATGGAATCATATAATTTGTCACCTTTTGGAATTAGTATTTTTCACTCCAGCAAAATTCCCTTGCGATCTGTCCAAGTTGTTGCATATTTTAAAGGTTTGTTTCTTTCCATTGCTGCATAGTA